GGAAGGTACAATCCAGAACATCTAATAACACCTTGAATTAGATATGTATACCTTTAGATTTAAGTTTGTTTGCATATCACGGAAAACTCAGTATAATGGTGGGTTAAACAAGATAATAATTGATTTGTCATTCATGTGATATAAATGTAGGATTGGTAGTTAAGTACTTGTGAGGCAGCTGTGCTATTATCAGGACTCCAGATTCCTTTGTCTCTTTGATCCACTATACTAGTTCATGGTTTCCATTCTCAAGGTATTAATTCATGGTCCAATGGGATGGCAGGAGCTCCAGCCATCACATCTCCTCTAGGCTGTGGGAAGGAGGAGAGGCAGAAGGGAGAAGGGCACATGCCTCTGTTGAGTCATTTCCCTTTAAGCAGCTTTCCTGGAAATTAAATATAATATATTAAATATAATATATTTCCTTGACCAGAATTTAATAATATCAGCCATTCCTAGTTGTAAGGAAGTCCTTGAAAATATAGTCCTTTAGCTGGGTACCGGGCTGCTTTATGTAAAATCAGGTTCTGGCATGCCTGGGTGGCTCAGGGGTTTTGTGTCTGCCTTTGGCTCAGGTCATGATCCCAGGGTCCTGGGATTAAGCCCCATGTGGAGACCCATGGGGAGCCCCACATTGAGCCCCACATCGGGCTCCCTGCTCAGTGGGAAGCCTGCTTCTCCCTCTCCCTCTGCAGCTCCCCATGCTTATGCTCTCTCTCTCTGTCAAATAAATAAATAAAATCTTTAAAAAAAAATCAGGTTCTCCTACTGATGGAACAAAGGGACACTGAACAGCAGGTGGCAATGAGCAGTCTCTGTCACAGATTCCATATTTATTCTTGGTTTTAAATCTTCAACACTACTCTAGGACTCATATTGCCAATTAGTCTTTATTTTGCTTTTCTCTTCTCTGGGTCTCACTTTCCTCATCTGAAAAAATGAGATTAATGTAATTTAAAGACATATAGGGGAAATAAATAGGAAGGTGACTGGAAAGATTTTATATATATATATATAATTTATAAATATATATTTACATACAAATATATATTTATAACAAAGAACTGATAAACTGGGCAAAATGAATATTTACCCAGCTCCAAATGCCTAGAATAGGGATATTCTTAAGGGAGGATTTCAGCCTCCACCAAATGATGAGGTTTTTCCCCTAGCATTTAAGCTTCTCCCAGAGACATGAATTAATCCCTTTTAGGTCATTGAGGGAACTCTAAGTGCTTAGCTCTTGTATAATTTTGAAAAAAATGAGTTGGCATTAAAGACAGTTATCATGCCTTGCACATTATCCTAAGAAAAACAGTATGTACTTTTTGGACTTCATGTAATTGCCATCTTTAATCTCCCTCATTATTATTGGTTCGCTCCTTTTTTTTTTTTTTTTTTTTTACAGATTTTATTTATTTATTTGACAGAGAGAGACACAGCGAGAGAGGGAATACAAGCAGGGGGAGTGGGAGAGGGAGAAGCAGGCTTAGGGAGCCCAATGCGGGGCTCGATCCCAGGACTCTGGGATCATGACCTGAGCCGAAGGCAGACGCTTAATGACCGAGCCTCCCAGGCGCCCCAAGGGCACTGGGGTTTTATTAGAAACACAAAACACAGGGTTTTTTCCCTGATGGAGTTCACATTATAGTGTGTGTGAGGGGGTATTGTTGTTGAGGGAGATAGCCCATGAACATGTAAACAAATGAACAAGATAGTTCAGATAGGAAAAAGTGCTATGAAGGCAGTAGGAGGACATAGAAGCATGTAAGTGGGAGGGAAAGGCTATGTTAGAGGGGAAAGTTCTTGAGGAGCTAAGATACGAATGTGAGACAAAGCCATTGACAAATACATAATTTACAATGAGCACTTATTTCATGGATACGAGCATCTAAAAATTTTTGTTTCTAAATGGAAAACCATTCTCTCTCCCACTACGCAAATGATGAAGATGCAACTTTTATTTAAATGGAGTATCAACAAAAAGCCCTAGTCAGCTAAGGGTAACAGTTTCAGGAATACTAAAGATAAGAGGGTGAGCAGTATTAGAATTATTTTGAAATCCAAACAGATCCCAGTAGATGTGCTTTCAAAATTAAAGAAAAAATGAGGCACTCACTCTTGCTTAATCCCTATGTTAGTTACTTTGGGGAAATGAAATATTTGAGTAATTTCACTTGACTGTTAAGAGTACCTTATCAGCAAACTGGCAATGAATTCTGTTGCAAAAATGAATCCATTCTAATTGTTTTGGTTTTTTTAAAGATTTTATTTATTTATTTGACAGAGAGAGACAACGAGAGAGGGAACACAAGCAGGGGGAGTGGGAGAGGGAGAAGCAGGCTTCCCGCCGAGCAGGGAGCCCAATGCGGGGCTCCATCCCAGGACCCTGGGATCATGACCTGAGCCGAAGGCAGACGCTTAACGACTGAGCCACCCAGGCGCCCCCTAATTGTTTTTTGAAAAAAGCCATTTTATATTTGTGATTCATGATCTTGCAAAATCATACGTGTGCAGAGAAAGTCAGCATCTGCCAGGAGCAAAGCAAATTTGATTAGATGTTCCAGTGGCTAGAACATATACATTCAGTGTTTACAATTGGCTTTCTTAGAAATAGGAGTGTTGCTTACCTAGTGACATGAATTTAAGACATACAGAGCTTCAGATTTGATCCCTGATAAAAAAAACCTGCAGGACTTTATCTATAAGAATAGATTCCTGAAAAATTAGACTTGATTCTCATTATGCCACTAATTAGAGCCAACTTCTTTTGTATCTCTTCAAAATTTGATATGAAATTTGTAAGACAATAACAAAGCATTCATGAGAGGAAGAAGCCACCAATACGATGGTTTCACATCAAAAAGATGTGATATTAATTTAGGAAACAATGAACTTTAAAAAGCGGAGTCATCTGTGAGTAATACAGAGTAGAATCTGGACCCAGGCAGGAAATCTAGCCTCAGAAAGTGAATCATAAACAGAAAAGGGAGTGGAGGGGAGGAGGAATGGAAATTTTCAGGGGTATTGGAATTAAAAGACCTTTAGTTCCCTTCTAGCCCCATTTATTTGCTTCTAAGAGCATACAAAGAATGTGTTAACCAGTGAAAAAAAGGCCTTATTGAGATATTATGTAGATAACCATAAAATTCACCCATAAGCATACAGTTCAATGATTTGTAGAAAATTCACAGAGTTATGCAACCATCACCCTATTTTTTTCATGTTGTTTATGGGATAGGAACCACTTTATTTTTCTTTTATAAAGTTACATAATGATTTGTTAAAATCTTAGAGCAAGTTTCAAGGATGCAAAGGGGACTCATTGAAAATGTGTGTAATAGACATGTGTAGGCAGTTGGTTTACTGAAACAAGGAGAAAGAGAGGCAGAGTGGCTGGAGGCCAGACAGGACAATGGTTATCAGCCACCCCCTATAGTCAGTCTGCTGGAGTTCAGGTTCAGGCATCCTTATTTGCTTTATAGCTGTCTGACCCCAAACAAGTTACTTGAACTCTCTGAGCCTCAGTTTACTGATAATAGTACCTATTTCATGGGATTATGAAGGATAAATGAGATAATATGTATGTGGTGCTCAGCACAGTCCTGACATATAGTAAGTACTCAATAAATATTAGCTATTTTTATAATTATCACTGGATGGCCATTAAATAGCCTTTCATGAGCGAGACACAAAGACCACATGCTCTCTGATTCAATTTATGTGAAATTCTAGAGAAGGCAAAATGATGGTGATAGAAAGTAGATCAGTGGTTGACAGAGGCAAGGGAGTGGGGGTAGGAAATTGATAGCAGGGAGCTTTTTAGGGTGCTCTATATTATGATTGGGATGGTGTTTTGTAAACATTTGTCATGGAATTACACACTTAAACTTGGTGAATTTTATTGTGTGTAAAATAAAGTGGACAAAAAATACCCCAACCCTAAAAAACATAGCTTTTAACTTCCTAGTTAGATAGTTTAATTATTTTACATGTTAGAAGCACGAATAAATTTCTAGGGGAGGCTGAGCGGCTAAGTCAGATAAAGGGGAGGGGGGACTCTGGATTTCAACTTAGGTCGACATCGAGCCCCGCCCCCATCCCGCTCGGGGTGGAGCCTGCTTAAGATTCTCTGTCTCCCTTTCCCTCTGCCCCTCTCCCTCTCTCTCAAAAAATTTTTTTAAAAATTTAAAAAAAGAATAAATTTCTAAACTCAGTCCCTATTATGTGCAAGACACTGTTCTAGGTGCTGGGGATGCAGCCTTGAAGAGGACAGCATCTCCACCTTCATAGAGCTTACAGTTCAAGCACGAATTAGATATATATGTTTGGGGTTACACGAGGGGTCAGTGTGGGATGCTATGGGGACATAACCGTGACAGGGGAGTGGGAGGAGGGGTAGAGGAGCTCCAAGTTGAATAAATATCTGTCCCGTGGATTTTCTTTAATTTTTCAAACATACACAGAAGCAAACACAGCGTACCTCTATCCGCCATGGTGTTTGGGAACGTGGCGTGACAGAGGTTTCTGGGTGACGGGCGATCCTGAGTGACCCAGGGGCTGCCCTCTGGTCCCACTATCTGTGAGACGGGGTATCCACCTGGCGAGGGAAGCGGACTGGCATTGGCCCAAGGACCAGGTAGATGCTTCCATCCGCCTCAGGGGTAGCGTGGCCTTGACCTTGATCTCAACCCGGCGTTCTCTCGGCTGCAGGCTAGCACTAGCCCTCAGCACAGCGCAGGAAGCGGGTTCCCTCAAGTACTCTCCCAAAGGTGGGCCAAACTACCGAAGTCCCAGTCTGCGAGATGACCCCGCCCGCGAGATGACCACGCCCACGACATGGCCCCGCCCACTGGTGGCCCCGCCCACAGGGAGTCCGAGGCCGATGCCGGCTCGGGGCGGAGACGCGTTGAGGGAACCTGGTTGGCTCTTCAGTTTGGGCCGCGTGGGAGGGCGGGGCGAGGCCTGAGGGGGCGGGGCTTGCGGTCCTCCGGGCCGCTTGGCGCCCGCTGGGGAAATGGATGCTCTGCAGGTCCGCGGGCGCCGGGGGCGGGGAAAGCACTCGCTCGGCTGCGCGCTGGCCCCGCCCGGGACCCGGCCCGAGCGCGGGGCCGCCCCCTTCCTCCTTCGCTGGCGCTGGGCTGAGCCCCGAGCCGAGAAACGGAGTCGGCCCTGAGCTCCCAGTTTGGTTTTTGGGTGGCGGCAGCCTGAGGAGGAACATGGCGCTCGTAGGCAACGGAGCAGAGCTGGAGGCGGACGAGGTACTGGCTCGTGGGGGTGCGGGCATTGCCCCTGGAGTCCCGGAGGGATGAGCGAGCCCGGCAGGGACGGCCAAGGTCCCGCCCCCTGGTCCCCAGTGCGGGACTAGGCAACCTCCCGTCCGGAGGAGGGGGCAGGGGCTGCGGGTGGGGGCACCCAGCCTGGGAGGTCTGTCCGGACGCGAGCGTGAGGGGCGCTCGGAGCGGAGGCGCTGTGGAGGTTCTGGGCGCCGGCACCGTGGGGTCGTGGTGATCGAGGACACCACGTCGGGTCTCGGGTGGATGGGTGCCAGCGCGCGGGAGCGCGGGACTCTGAGTTTCTTCAGGAGCGCTTGGGCTTTTTGAGGTCCGACCCTGAAGTCCCGACACTGGCCCTCTGGGGTTTGTGGAATATCATTTCTATGGAAGTTTCCAAGTGGCAGAACCGACAGGCTTACAGTTGGTGACAGGAGGGGGCTAGCCGGGTGTGGGTGGGGGAGAAGGAGCCCGAGGCGTGTCTGCACGAGCGGGCAGGGTAGGGGCTGCCGAGGGGGCTGGAGGGCTAGGCTAGGGCTAGGAGAGCAGCCGCCCAGGAATTGGTGCTTTCTCCTCCGTCCATAGGGCACAGGCCTTTCCGTGCAGGTCCGCAGTGTCGGTGGTGGACTGGGGGGGGCGGGGGGAAGGCGCTTCGAGAACCGACTCCGGCTTCCCGACTTCTCGACTGTATTTAAGTAATTAGTCACTTCTTCCTGCGGCCCGGCGCGCGGGGGTCTGAGCACCCTAGGGCGCGCGCGCTGTACCTGTTGATTTATTGACTGTTGCTTCCAGCATTTGGGAGCCCCGGAGAGACGCTCCCTCTTGCGCTGGAAGTTGAGGCCGGCGGCAGGAGCAGCCACCGCAGCACCCACAGTTGCTGCTGCTGCCATTTTACCTGACTTGAATTTTACAAGTCGCTGCCGGTGGAGGTTTAGTTTCAAATGATGCAATAGTGGAAGATCTGAGGAGGCGGGTTAAGATTCCTGTCCATCTCTTTAATGTTGGGAAACTCCTGACAGCGAATACTGTGTTTTCAGTGTAGCCCTTAAAATAAAAGCGAAACAAAAACCAAACTACAGCTCCTTTACACGATTGACAGGCAAGAGGGCAAGCCAGGCTGTTTAAAACCTTTCTTACAGCCAGTCCCTTGCAGTGAGGATCCCCAAGACCACAATGCAATGAACTAGAGCTTGCTAAGTTGCATCTTTTTATTGTTGAAACTTTGACACTACAGGTAAAGGCAGATGATGAAATAGCGTATTTGTTGCGATTTTCATCCATGACAACCTTTCTTTATTTATAGCTTTAGATTGTCTTTTGGTATGACCTGGAGGCTTCTGTTTTTTTCTTTCCACCTGTCTTAGTTCTTTTCTGTAATTGAGGTAGTAAACCTTTCATCGTGCTTTGACTATACATACATTCCCTTCCTCAAAAGTTTTTATGGCTGTCTGTTGTATATTAAGTTAGGTATTCATATGTCTGACATGCAAGGCCCTCTAGGTATGATCTAAATATGATGTTCCAGCCCATCCCCAACTGCTTCCCTATGTATAATCAGTTAGTTTAATCCATGTTATACTGGTATTATAAATGAGGAAACAAGACTGGCAGTACCTAGTAAATGTGGATTGAAATTTTTGAATCCCTAGTCTGCTTGTCTAAAAAGATTTGGTACTCTTAGGGCTATAAAATTGTCATGTCAGGGCATTGTTGAGAGAGAAACGGGATGCTATTAATAATTAACACTTGGACAAAAGGTGTAAACTGGGACTGTCCTGAGCATACTGAGACCTATAGCCACCGTAGCCATACCCCCTGTCTACAAGGTGATCTGAAGTGTTGAGATGCATTAGCTAGGGAGGAGGACTCTAGGTCTGTGGAGGAAGTTAGGTTTTGAACAGCAGAGAGCTTGGCACACAGATTCTTGGTAAATACACATTTGTTGAATGAATGAATAAAAGCATAAATGATGTCACTTAATGACTTTTCAGTGTTTGCTCTATCTTTCATTTATTGAATTCAATAACTGCTAGGTTCCTGTTGCATGTAAGGTACTACATTGGTCCTAGGAGATGAGCAAAATACAAACAGAATTTTTTGCTCATGCCAAATTCTCTTTTGTCCCTCCATGGTACACCATTCCTATTGGTAGAAATTTTGCAAACATTTATTGAACATTTGCTCTGTGCTCAAACTTGGTAGGTGCCTTAGAAGGAGAAGACACAGTTTTAGCTCTCTAGGATTCTCTGGCTAGGTAGGGAGATAGGACATGTGTATAAGAACTCTGGAATAGGAGTGCCTGGGTGGCTCAGTCGTTAAGCGTCTGCCTTCAGCTCAGGTCATGATCCCAGGGTCCTGGGATCAAGCCCCACATCGGGCTCCCTGCTCGGCGGGGAACCTGCTTCTCCCTCTCCTCCCCCTGCTTGTGTTCCTGCTCTCGCTATCTCTGTCTCTGACAAATAAATAAAATCTTACAAAAAAAAAAAAAAAAAGAACTCTGGAAGAGAGCTCAAGGCAGGGTAAGCAAGTAGGAAGTACTGCATTGTGGACTGGGTACACTTGACTTACTTGTAGAAAGTCCCTAATCCTGCAGTGGGCTGAAGTGCTATACCATGAGTGAACAAGACCCTGTTTGTTAGTTTTCCTGGGCGTGTGAGGCTAAAATGGCTTATTTCAGCTGGGGAACTTTTTAAACACTTAATATACATTTGATAGTCTTTGGGGCCATTTGACCTCTCTCTCTCTGTCAAATAAATAAATAAAAAAAATCTTAAAAAAAAGAAAAAAAAATTTAAAGTAGGCTCCATGCCCGGCGTGGAGCCTGACGTGGGGAGCTGAGATCAAGAGTTGGACACTTAACTGAATGAGCCGCCTAGGCATCCCTAAAAAATAACTTTTTTTTTTTTTTAAAGATTTTATTTATTTGACAGAGAGAGACACAGCGATAGAGGGAACACAAGCAGGGGGAGAGGGAGAGGGAGAAGCAGGCTTCCCGCGGAGCAGGGAGCCCGACTCGGGGCTCGATCCCAGGACCCTGGGATCATGACCTGAGTTGAAGGCAGACACTTAATGACTGAGCCACCCAGGCACCCCTAAAAAATAATTTTTTTAAAAAAGATTTTATTTATTTATTTGAGAGAGAGAATGAGAGCAAGCGAGAGAGAGAGAGAGCACATGAGAGGGGGGAGGGTCAGAGGGAGAAGCAGGCTCCATGCTGAGCAGGGAGCCCGATGTGGGACTCGATCCCAGGACTCCAGGATCGTGACCTCAGCCGAAGGCAGTCGCTCAACCAACTGAGCCACCCAGGCGCCCAAAAAATAATTTTTAAGAAGATAATTTTTCAATTGTTTTACTTTTGCTGGAGAAATTACAGTGTTGAATGTCTTAAAAATTTGGTTACATTGCTATTATTATGTAGAAATTGGAAATTTGCATGTGTAATATAATATATTACATTAAAAGCTACTCAGCAAATAGTTATAAAGTTAAATATTAATAGTTTTAAAATTTTTATTTATTATTTATTTTTAAAAAAGATTTTATTTATTTATTTTATTTTTTTAAGATTTTATTTATTTATTCATAAGAGACAGAGAGAGAGAGAGGCAGAGGGAGAAGCAGGCTCCCCGCTGAGCAGGGAGCCCGATGTAGGGCTCCATCCCAGGACCCTGGGATCATGACCTGAGCCGAAGGCAGACGCTTAACGACTGAGCCACCCAGGCGCCCAGCTTTAAAATTTTTAATTTGACTTAAAATATTTATTCAGTTATTCCAAATTCATTATTGAATAAAAAGAATAAACTTTATACTAGTTCTTTTAATGTATAAAGCACACATATATATCTCTCAGTGCTTTTAAAATTTCATGGTGGTTGTGGTTAGGAAAAAATGTCTAATAGGGCTCCTTAGGAGGGCAATAATGAGAAAAGTTGAGAAACACTGAGTTGGAGAAAGAAATAGCTCATTTGGCAGATGCTTTCATGGTCTGCCTTTTTGGCCCAGGATTTTTAAAATTTTTTAATTTAAACTTTTATTTATTTATTTTGGCTCAGGATTCTTTTTAGATCTAATTTTTTTTAAAGATTTTATTTATTAGAGAGAGAGTGCAAGCGTGTGCGAGCGAGCACACACAAGCAGGGATGGGGTGGTGGGCGGGGGGCAGAGGGAGACGAAAAGGGACAAGCAGATGCCCTGCTGAGCGTGGAGCCTGACTTGGGCTCAGTCCCAGGACCCTGAGATCATGACCTGAGCTGAAATCAAGAGTCAGGCCTTTAACCGACTGAGCCATCCAGGAGCCCCAGATCTAATTCTAATTTAGAAAATTTATCCATTGGAATTTTAGATGAAGTTTAGATAAGATTGATTGCTGTAATTTTAAAAATTTTTTTTAGAAGAATTTATTTATTTATTTGACAGAGAGAGAGTGAGAGAGAGAGCAAGAACAAGCAAGCACAAGGAGGGGGAGCAGCAGAGGGAGAGGGCGAAGCAGGCTTCCTGCGGAGCAGGGAGCCCGATGCGGGGCTCACTCCCAGGACCCTGGGATCATGAGCTGAGTCGAAGGCAGACACTTAACCGACTGAGCCACTCAGGTGCCCTGCTTGCTACAATTTTTTTAAGAATCAGATTTGTTCTTTCATTGCACCACTGTTCATTGAGCACCTGAGAGGTGCTACCAGTCCATAGATGCTGGAAGTACACACTAAGTGCACACTAAGATAAGACTGCATTACTGCCCTTGAGGAACATACACTCTAGCAAAAGACACAGTTACACAAGTAACTAGTTCTATCTTTGGGTCAAGGTAGAAAGCCATGTGATTTATCATCCATAGCACGGCAGTATGAGAGTAAATGGATGCTTTCCGTAATTACCCTAGGACAACAGGTGCAACACAGGGATGCCACCCTAGTTTAGGGGCTGGCAGGGCCTTTAAGGAGGAGATGATATTTGAACTGGGTCTTGAATGGTGAGCAAGCTTGTGCTGGGCA